CTGCGATCGTGACCGGAGCCGAAGGCAGACACTTAACGACTGAGCCACCCAGGCGCCCCTCTCCCCACTGATTTTAATTGGCATTTTTGTTAAATGTTAAAATCGCAAATGCAGGGTTTATTTCTAGACTTTACAATCAGTTTCATTGGTCTGTCCCTTTTTTCTTCTCTCTTTTTAAAGGCCTGATAATATGCTGTATTATCTAGTAGGCTTTTGATCTTAAAACCAGACATTATAAGGAAAGTAAAGTATATATATAGTATAGTATATATAGCTTATCTGAATGTGGCTATAAAAATCCTCAATAAAATATAAGCAAACTGAATCAAGCAATATATAAGGAAGCAATACATCATGATCAAGCAGGGTATGTGTCAGGAATGCAAAGATGGTTTAGTCTGCAAAATTCCATTAATTTACAATCTTGTATCTAAAGGAGAAAACCATGTCATCTCACGGGCTTCAGAAAAACTAGCAATATTCAATACCAATTTTTAGGAAACTCTTGGCAAGCTACTTTAAAAGAGAACATCCTTATCTTAATAAGTACCTACCCAAACCAACAATAACCACTGTGTTTCATGGTAAAACTTTAGAAGCATTTCCTTAGCAATGCCTCCTATCCCTCCCTCTGTACAGCACTGTGCTGGAGATCTTAAATTAGTCACAGTGTAACAAGAAAAACAAAAAGTGAATGAATTGGGAAGGGGAAAAAAAAACTAGCATCATTCACAGATAATATGATTCTCCACATAGAAAATCTCAAAAGAATCTACAGTGAAATTACCAGAACTGCTTGAGTGCCACAGGGCAACCAGAGACCAACACACTATCGTTCCAGAATACCAGCAATGAACAATGAGAAAATGTGACTTTTCAAAGAAACCATTTAAAACAGCAACAGAAACCAGAAGAAACTTAGAATAAACCTGTTCAAAGATGTGTAAGACTTTACACAGAGATCATAATTTATTAATAGACATAAGAAAACTCTACATAAATGGAAAAATACACCACATTCACAGATCTGAAGAACTGCTATCATAAAGATGATATCCGTTTTATTCCACAGTAATCTATAAATTAAGTAGAAATTTCAACCTGACGGAGGTTGTTCCTGGAACTTTACAAGGGGATTCTAAAATTCTTACAAGGATAGACTCACCCAACAAGATACTGGAATTACTATAAAGCTTCGGTATTAGCTCAGGGATTGACAAAAAGACTAATGGAATTGTTATGGTCTGAATGTGTCCCCCCAAAATTTATAGGCTGAAATCTAACCTCCAGAGTGACTAAGCTTGCAGATGGGGCCTCTAGACTAGTACTTAAGATGAAATGAAATCGTAAGAGTGGGACCCTGATCCAATACGATTAGTGTCCCTATAAGAAAAGACAACAGAGCATTTTCTCTCTCCCTCTGCCTCTCCCTCCCTCTCCCCCTGCCTCCTCCCCATGCCACCATGCACACCATGGAAAGGCCATGTGGGGACCTAGCAAGAAGGCAGCCGTCTGCAAACCAGGAAGAGAGCCCTCACCAGAAACTGAATATGCTGGCACCTTGATCATGGACATCCAGCCTCCAGAACAATGAGAAAATAAATGTCTGTTGTCTAAGCCACCCAGTCTGTGGTATTTTCCTAAGGTCGCCTGAGAAAACGAATACAGGAATAAAAAGAGAACTCAGAAACAGACCTCCATACATATGACAACTTGGTATGTAACAGAGGTGGCCATGATAAACCAAATGAACTGAATATTTAATAAATGTTCTTGGGAATGTGTGTGTGAGCGAGAGAGAGGGAGAAACTGTGTATCACATTAAAATTAAAACTTTACAACAGAAGGGGCACCTGGGTGGCTCAGT